TATATAGCATATAATAGCATATTAAAATTTCAATATTATTATCATTACGTATCAGTATATGCACTTAATCATAAGCATTAATTTCAGAGAATTACAGAGATTATAAAAAAGATTATCATACATGAATATATGTATTAAAAAAATTGCAGATTATTATAAAAAAATTTTCGAAAAGATTAAAAAAAAAAAAAAAAAATACATTCACTAATTATTTTATATAATACTATTTGGCCGATTTTCTTCCAAGACCTTACTTAGATTATGTGTTTGTTTTGTTTGCTGTCTTTGTGATCATGCAGGCATAATGTAATGATTTAATCCTTAATATCGTGAGTGGTTTCTTGTGAACTTGTTCTTGGCTTTCCTTGTAACTTTTTTCAACCTTTATTTGCAGTTTCTTTACGTCTAGCAACTAAAGCAACCTGAACTTTAATCCTTTTACCACCATGCTGATGACTATTACTATTTACTCGATTCTCCTTCCAGTTACAAGTTTGAAAAAAAGAAGCTATAGCTAGATAGATATGAGTATCTTGTATCAAATAGCATTTTTTATAGGCTTTGATAAACTTGCTACACTTTTGTTAAATGTAGGATCATTTTCTTTAATAAGATTTTCTATATCATTATAAAACTAACGAAATTCATTTACAGTTAATTGATTGAGATTTTTATCATTTTTACTATCATTACTATCATTGCTAAATTCATTGATACTAGATTCATTGGCACTCTTATCACCACTATCAATATTAGTGGCTTTATTATTTAAAAATTGAGAAAATAACATAGCTGAAGACCCAGGAAGCATATTTTCTTTGTCATAATTATTGAAATTACAATTTGCATTTTCAATTAAAGTATTACATATCAACATTGTAGGTTCAACTACGGACTCTTTATCTATTTGTGCTTGGTGAAGATTTGTGTAAAAGCTAAGTTCTTTACATTTTCTCCTAATGCTAAGTAAGCATAATTGTACTGACCAACTATAGATATTGTGGATAACTGATTTAATCCACATATATGATAGTGAATTGCTATAGAGGAATGATGTTTGCATAGAACCTCTGTTAGATCACACTTACACATTCTAAGCTGCATATCTACAAGATATTATATATCAGAATTTTTGCTACTTCAATACTTATATATTATTGATTTATGATTTATAATTTTAATATTATTTAGTAATCCAATTTGCCAACCTAAAAGTTGAAACCGATATGCAATAAAATTGGCAAGATTATTATAAGCAACTACTAGCAATTTACGTATATAATAGAGGTTCATTGAATTAATTATAAAGTGAAAAATTTGTACTATATTGTATGCTTGTATTTAACCAAATATAGCATCTTTAATTACTCGAATTCTCGCCTCTAAGAAATTATTTGTATGATTATTTCGAACAGGTAAGTGTTGGCGATATGCAATAGCCCATTCCTTACGTCACTCCCACATAACTTCAAAATGTTTTTGAAAACGTGGATATTTTAAATACACTTGACTTGATATAAACATAATATGTATATCTTCAAGCCTAGTTTCAGTTTTTGAAAAAACTATCTTTTTCAAATATTCAATAAGGGTAACACAATCATCTTTATTGATTCCATGCTTGCTATTTCATAACCATTTCCATGCTGCTTGTAAAAAGTGAAAAACACATAGTAATAATATTGCTTCATTTCATATATTATGTAATGCTATTCTTTCCGCTTTACAATCATCAGTCATAAAAATTTTTGGTCCAATTACAGGCCCATGTCCATTAAAAGCTAATATTGGCATAATACACTTTAGCATATCTAAGGCTTTTGTAAAAGTATTAGTCATTTTATCAGAAGTAAGTATTATTGCAAGAGGCAAGCTACTGATAGGTGTGCTTGTTGAGAGGATTGTCATTGGGGTGTTAAGTATATCAAGGCCTGCTGTACTGTTCATGTAAACTAATTCACCAGCTTGCTGCAAAGCATGACAATGTTTTATAAAGTTTGTTACAATAACTAAAACAAATGGTTGCCCAGGATCAGTATTTGTAGATGCAATATATAGTTGCATTAAAGCATTTCCTTTTCTATTAGAATTAAATTCTTCAACTTCTTCTGCTAATCAACTAAACATTTCTTTTCTATTTCATGCACCAATAAAAGTATCAAGGTATTTCTGATAAAGATAATAAACATTGTGTTTATGTGGACAAATTGCTCTATCAGCAAGAATAGCTTCATCATTATCATACTTTAACTGTATCTCCTTCATATATGTATAATAAGCACTATTGGGATTGTGACTAGTATGAAAAAGCCTAAAAAATACTTCTTTTGTCTCATTAGAAATAGAATGAAAGCTTGTTATATAGCCTGATATGAGAGAATAATTATGATGAAATTTTAAAGAAATTATACAGGGATATGAGTCAAACACATTCCATAATTGTATGCTAAGTGTTGCCGGATAGTCAGTATCCCGTATTCGTGTATTAACTATTTGATTTTTTTTATTATCTATAGTTTTGTTTTTTGCATTAGTATTATTATTATTTTTTTCTTTTAGTCCTTGCTTTAGCTTTACTGTATAACTATAAATACAATGGAATCATTTAGAAAGAAGGTATTTAACTTTTTTAATGATTTGTCCCTATGTTTCCTGCATAGTAGTCTTGTGCAGATTGGAAAATTCATCAAGCTATTTTGTAGTGTCATCAACTGTACAGATATTTACACGAAGTTTTGCTTCAAATTGATTAGAAAATGCACCCAAAAAATTTAATGCTTGAAATAGTTCAAACAAATCAACAATATAATAGTAATTTAAAGGCAAAGAACGTTCTAAAGTAGTAAGATTAATCATTGTAATCTTTTGTAACTCAATATCCTGAGACAAAGAGATATGTAGTATAGAGGTTTGTATAATTTTATTATTTGATTTTGATATTATTTTTTTTGAAGTAGCAGGCATATCAATAGTATTCATGTGTTAAAAAAAAATGAGGTAAACATTATATTTACTTCGCTATTGGGAATTTAAAAATCATGCAAAATATTGTCATCAGAATGTAAATCATCAAAATAAATATAGTCATTAAAATGTCATAAAATGCAAAAAGTAATTATTGAAATATAAAATGTAGCCATAATATAACATACAAATATTATTATATTTTTTATTTTGATGTTCCTTCTACTATAGTACTAGCGTATTATATTAAGTAGTAGCACTGACTGATTATTTTTATTATTATAAATATATAAGCTAGTCAACCCATTTTACATCACTAATGCATTACTATAATCTGTGCTTGGTTTTCGATCACATGATGTAGATCTATATAGAAAATCGTTTAACATATCATCAGCTTACATATTTACATATATAGAAGTTTCTAACTTTACATATTTGCGTACAAATTAGCATAATATAATTTTGTTGTATTTAAGATAGTGTATAAAAAAAAATAAATGTTGTGTAGTTTATATATAATACCTTTTTTTGTGTTTAAATGGTCAATAAAATAGTATAGCTCTCATGTTAGTATGTGCATATAGGTATAAACTAATTAATCGAATCATGGTTATTTATTCTTTGCTCTTTAAATATATATTAAGTTGAACTATTTTAAACGAATCAATTTATTATCAAGTATGTATATTATGGAGTTGTTATAAATATTGAAATAAAATTAAAGGCTTTATTAATGTATAAGTTTCAAGTATTGATCTAAAGAATATTAAATGTTTATTAAAGTGAAAGCAAAAACAATAGTTTGAATAGTTTCAATAAATAGTTAGTGATGTATTGTTATAATCTGTGCTCAGTTTTTATGTAGATTTATACAGAAAATTATTCAACATATGTACTAATTTTTATTCTGTATATTCGTATATACGTACAGCATAGCAATATGATGTAGCAAGAAAAAAATTCTATGTATTTAATATAATCAAAGTTTATTCCGAGTTTCCTTAACATTACTTATATATTGCAATATGTTAGTATTAACGTTATACAAATAAATACATTAAGATTAGCATTAGTGGTAAATTAAATACATAGCATAGATTAATTAATTATAAATTAATAGCTTTCTGGTTTAATTACAAGGTTAATATATTTGTTATCAATTTAGTTTCAATTGCATTTCAATTATAATATATATATAGCATATAATAGCATATTAAAATTTCAATATTATTATCATTACGTATCAGTATATGCACTTAATCATAAGCA